AAATTTGCCGCCTTAATTATTAATTCATTCATTAAAAAAAATTATCTGCAACCCACTTGCTCACACTATACGAATTTTGCCACTATGTACTAAATTCTTCAAGCTTCGACGGTGAAATTTGCCGCCTTCATTAATTAAAAAAAATTATCTACAACCGACTTCCGTATGTATTTTGCTACTTCCTACACTATATATATAATATAACATGCAAATGCACTAAATGCAAACACTGTGAAGTGACAAAACAATTTCTTGAAGGTAGATTTGTATTCATTGTTGTTATATTTTTGCTTTTTCATTTTAATTTTTTTTTCAGCATGGTTTAGGTTGTAAGTAGTTAGGTATAGTTAATTTTGTCTGTATAGATTTAGTATTTCTCTATGTTTCACAATAAATTCAAAAGCATATTAGGTTAACTTCATAGGTTTGTCAACACATTAGTATTATTAATATTATTACTGGGGTGTCAACATTAATTTTTTACTAATTAAATTACAACAATTAATAATACTTACATAAAATTATACTTGGATTTATGCAGATAAAAAAATTGTTGAAAAATTGACTAGGAAAGATAATTAAAAAAAACATGTCATCTCCCCGTGCGTGCACGAGGAGAACGATTCTCCCCGTGAAGCAAAAGAAAAAGAAAAAAAAAATTCCTCCCGTGCACGCACGGAGAGTTACGATCTCCCCGTGCACGCACGGGGAGACAGGTTCTCCCCGTGCAAGCACGGGAAGTTACGTACTCCCCGTGCGCGCACGGGGACACAAGATCTCCCCGTGCGCGCACGGGGAGGCTAACAAATATTTTAAAAAAAAAAAAAAAAATACGAAAGAAAGAACAAAAAAAGAGTCAACTCAGTTAAATCGTTCATCGGCTCCTGTCCATGTTGCTGTTAGTCTTCAAACCTTCTGCTGCTGATTCAATACATATCATATAAAATCAAAATAAAAAAAAAGGGTACCGCTATTTCCATTCACACTTTTTATATATACATCCACTNTATCATGTATTGGAGAAGCAAACCAAATCCGGTATATCCCTACTAATTCATTCTTCATCACAAATCTTCTAACGTCTCACTCTTTCTCTCTCACCGTGAAGCTGCAAAACAATCTGGTTCATACTGTAATTGTAATGGTTATATCCTTTCAATGGAGTCCGTAAGTCGGGTGTTTACTCATTCTATTAAACATTTTAGCCAGCGTTTATGTAATTTGGATTTTGATGTAATTTACATTTTATTGTTTCCACTAATTTATGAATTTGTTTACTGTTGGTTGGTTGCATAGTTTCAAATTTCAATGAAGGTAGAATTTGATTATTCACTCTTCATGTTTTAATGGAATTCAAGAACTTTTTTGCTCGAATTATTGTAAATCATATAGAGATTTTGGAGGAAAATCTTGATTTTGAATGTTTTGTTTTAATTCTTTTATTTTGACCAGTTAAAAAAAAAAATTCGACCTCCCCGTGCGCGTACGGGGGGAAGTGAACTCCTCATGCGCACGCGGGGAGAAACACACTCCCCGTGCGTGCATGGGGATAATTGTTGACTTCCCTAAAAAAACAAAGAGAGAGAAGCGATTCACTTCTACAGCTCTCAACTCCCCGTGCGCGCACGGGGAGAGTTCCCTCCCCTCCCCGTGCGCGCACGGGGACACTTCCCTAAAAAAAACGAAGTGAGAGAAGCGATTCACTTCTACAGCTCTCTCGAACCCTAATTTCTCTCTTCCACCCACCTCCGTTGCATGCCTTCAGCCCGAGTCTTTGGATCAAGTTAGGGTACGAAAACGAGTGCATATCTGTAAGTTCTTGGAGAAAGAGGCGGTGGCAACGTTAGAGGCAGAAAGACGAGCACGCTTGGTGGCACGGGTGGTTGGACCAGAGGAAGAAGAAGAAGGCGCTATTAATGTCAATACCTTGGATGAGTCGAAGGATATAGATTCTACCAAAACAAATATAGAAGATGGAGAATCTCAGGACTCAAGCGCAATTGTGACTGGTCAACCTGATTTACCAGGTAACAACTCTGAAGATAATATTTCTATCAGTTCGAAATGCGTCTCTTCCCAATTGAATTAAAACCTCCAAATCCCTTGACATCCAGAAATTCCTCGAATCAATTTCTCTCAAAACTCCACTCGAAAATCCTTGAGATCCACTAGACATTCGAAACCTTGACTCTAGAAATAGGTACGAAATTGAATTCCTTGTGCAAGCTACCTTCATCCGATGATTTCGTAAGTTATGTTGCGGTACTTTCATTCATTTATGTAATTTTCTGATTCTTTGACGTATTTGTTGTTATGGGTTTTTTTAATTCAATGGCCACGCTTACAACCTCATAAAAAAAAAATTCTACTTGTTATATTTTAGGTTTGGAATTGTCAGTTCGATTACTAAAAAAATATACTCTCTTTTGTCTTATAACAATCTTGCAGAATAGGCAACCTTTAATTAACAATTACACATGATTGAAGATGTTAGAATACATGTTGGTGGATAGAGATCAATTTTTATTCTCCTATTAATAAGAATAATTGACTTTCAAGCAGGATTGAATTTTCTATTTTGTTCTTATTGATAATGTTTTAGATTGAATATTTATTGATAATATTCTCCTACAATAATTCATATGTTATGGTATTGTGGTAATAGTAATTGTTAGTTGATAACGAGTTCCTTTTCGATGATGTTAATTATGATGGAGGAGCTTTCATACTTGAAATCCCAAACCTATTTGAGTACTAGCTCCCGTTCGTTTTATTCTCTCACCGTCTTTTAATTTTACCCAGAACTGAAGCAATTGAAGGGTATTGGAGATAGCCACAGTGGAATACCGAACACTCTCCTTGTGTATGTGTGTTCCATTTTTTCTTGCTCTATTTTTAGGTGCTTGATAACATTGATGGTTGGTCAAATCTCGATTATTTACTTGCTTTTCTGATCTTACAATTCACTTTAGGATGAGATAAACTTTTCAAGGCTGAAGTTTGATTAAAATCTTGTCTTATTTGTATATAATTTACGTAATCTTCATTTCAACGGTAGTCATACCTTAATAATTTATCATTTTCCATCTACCCGACACATGGATATTTGATCACTAAATTATTTCTTTAAATCAAAAGTAAACGAATAAGAGAAGCATTTATTAATGCAGGAATTGGACAATCGTGGTTGATGAGTGGCCGAATGCTACAAAGGCCATTACAGGTTGTTTATTTGGAAGTTCTTTCTATAGAATATGCATCTAAGATTAACTATTTACTTTCAACAAGGAATTAATGTGTTACTTTTGTTTTACTGGTGCAGAAGTTGCAAAAGAATCTGTGAAAACGTCTTCTTTTGAAGAAAATGAAGGGCTCCCACCTCCTCCAATGGACGAAGGAGACTTTTTTGCTATACCTACTTCAATGGAACTGTCACAGGTGTAATATTTAATTGCCTTTCTTCGCTCAAAACTCGTACAATTTTCATTTGTGTTTATGTGCTGACTTAGATTTCCATATCTTGCTTTCTTCTATTAATGAAGATAATATATGCATCGCAATTGAATACTAAAATTGATACCGAACGATCTGCCACATACTTTTTATGGGATCCATAATACATTACACAGGAATCAGATTATGTTTCGAGCAACTTTTCAAATTTTATCTAGAGATGGAGTTTAGCATATTTATGCCTAAGGACATCCCGTTACAGGAAATTTACTTTGATTCACAAGGTTTATGTTGGATTACATGCAAAAATTGTTTAATAGAGTTGAAAGCTTGCTGGAAGTAGATCTGGCAAATCTAAGCTTGTACCTTACAAAGGATCTACGTCTAAAAAATGAGCATTTTGAAGCAGCTGATTGTATTTATATTGAAACTTCTGTTCTTGTTTTGCACATTGACATTGAAATTTTGTTGATTTCCTTTTCTTAGGCATTTAGAATTTAAATTCAATGGAACATCACCTAGACGATCTTCAATGCACGTTTCATCAACAAACAAGAGTCCGTGGACGATAACAGAGAAGTGGGTGATTCTGCTTAACTTATTTTCTCCGTCTCATGATTTTCTTTCCTTTACTTTATTGAAAATGAAAAGGAAACGTTCAAATAAATATAACTCTACAATCTCTTTCAGTTTTCTAATGTGTTTAGTGCCTATGTCTCTTCTCTAATATATTTAATTGTGCAATAATAAAGCCGTTCAGATCAGCTACCGGAAGTTCTTTGGTGAATTTATTCTTTTGCTTTCTTTGTCATATACTAACTTGCAGATAATGTTCATAACTTTTACTCTAGATTATGAGAAAATGATATAGGTCTTCTTATGCCATTATTCACAGAGATCAGTCGAGGATAGTGGATTGCCTGATGGAACCGAAGTAACTTATTATTCTCATGGAAAGGTGGTCCATACTAATGCTACAGGCACTATCATCAGTGTTTCTATTTCAATATTTTAATTTTCCTCTTTGCATTCACAGAAGCTACGTCATGGCTATAAAATGGGGTCAAGAATACTTTGTTGTTGCTGCAATATTCTGCTAATATAATTTACTGATTCAGTTTAGACTTCCTGAATGTTTTAGCTGTAGTACTTATTCTTTTTTCGTATTATGCTCCATCTTAGTTTGAAGCTCATGCTGGTTGGGCATTATGCAAAAAGCCGTTAGTTTTCTTTCTCCACTTTCTTCAATGTTTCTTTGTCAATTTAAGAACAAGAATCTGAATCCGCTAAATTATAATAAGTATTAAACAATCTATCTTTCCAACATTTCACTTTCTTCAATCCATCAAGCATAAGTAAATATTTCTAAAAATACAATTACCAGAAAAATAGTAACATCAAACAGAAGTCACAGTGAAATCATACCTTGTAAAACCATCATCTGCAATATTTCTATTGTTTATTAAGTTTGATGTTTATTATCGCCTCTTTCTCTCTCTATTTTTAGTATTCTGGGTCTTCACTCTTTTTTGGATCAAATTTTCTCGTGCAAAGGTGCGTGTTTTCTCTTTATATCTGTCGTTTCCATCTGGGTTTTGAATATCGTGTTAACATCCAATTTTGCTACGGTGCACATTTTTCCGCCGAATCTGCTTCTGTACACATAGCTCTACTGTTTTATATGAGAGTGAAATCGTATTTGAGCGTGAAAATTATTTTAATGACAAGATGTTTGTTGAAATGACATATCATTCTCTGCTTGATCTTACGTATTCTTGTTTTTGTTATTCAGGTTCAGATTGAGATTGAGATTGAGATACGTATCTAATGGGTTATTTATGATTGGAAGTTCCTTCTTGGCAAACTATTTCAACTTCCTATATAATGTATATGTTTTGATTGTGCATTGAGATAGTTAATATTGCTGGATAAATGGAGTTACTTTTAGGCTTATTTTCTGTTTTAATAGCTTACATATGGTTGTCAAATTTCAGATTACTGAGGACATGCATCCAACATCTTTGTATTCTGACAAATGCAATTTCATTATGCTTGTGTGAAAACCAATCAAATGCTTGTATTGGATATGCTATTTCTTATTTCTTGTCATTATTGTCTTTGTTCATTCTACCTTGGTTTTCCTGTGTGTATAAATATTGTTTGATAGTAAAAATATGAACTTTGACTTGATTATTGATGTTTGGATTTTTTTTAACTTTTAATTTTATGAAAGTTCCATTCTACCCTATGGTTAGATCAGAAGTGTATTTATCAGAGGTAAAGAGGATGGAGGTTCTAATGGAAAATTTTGGACAAGCTATTGGTATCCATATAAAGGAAAACGATGAGGTTTATGAAGGAGATGTGAGTTACCCTTTTATCAACCTTCTGCATCAAAAACCGCTCTAACAACAGTTAAGGAAGAACTTGGAGCACCCTTAGATGATATATTTGAAAGATTTGATCTAGAACCAATTGCCCTGGCAAGTCTTGTTAAGTTCGATTTTCTTAGATGAACAACAATTGTTGTTTGTTATTTTCACTTAAATTGTGGTCTTTATTATTTAGGTTATGTAGTTTTCAAGCTTTTAGTAAGTGGGTACACACTTTTTTGGATTTTAGAGTAATTTTGTATATTTTACTGAGAGGTTCATTTGGGGAAGATCTAAATAGCATTGAAGCTAGCATCATGTATGTTTTCTCTAAAGTATTGGTTAATCATAATTTGTTGCATTCTTTTCACAGATTAGAATGAACATTACTTCAATATATTTGCATATATACTGATAGCACGGTGCTTGTTGTGTTATGGAAGATTTTTTTTTTTCCCTGTTTGGATTTTAAATGAATAAGTGGGAAATTTAAACCTTAAATTACATAGCGGTCTATGGTCTATGTCGTGTGTGTATTAGCCACATTGATTTTTCTTTTTTCTTTTTCTACTTTGAATCATTCTTATTTCCTTATCTTTCACTTGTTGACTATAGTTTGTTAATTAATTTTTAAAATACTATTCTCATGTAGGGGACTAGAAATGTAATTTTGCCCAAGCTTTCTATTTCTTAGCTATAACGGTATTGACCACGAGGGAACAATTTTTGCATATATACACGCGAGCGCGTGCACACATTTATATAATTATATTTTATTTAGTAGTGGAGGGTGGGATGCAGTTTTCTCTTGATTCTATTATTTGAAGCCGTTTGCAAGAATTGTTTATTTGAAATAATATTAACACTCACTCCTTTATGTTACAGTATATGATGCCACCTTATGGGGCTTCATATGTGGCATNTTTTTTTTTCTTTTTTTTCTCAAATGTATAAACGACCATGTAATTCACTTGGGTGGTGGTGAGTGATTGTTGGATGGTGGTGGGATTATCGAGGGTGGGGGCTCCATTTAGGGTTTTTTTTTCCAAATTGGTTTTTACATAGATACACAATGTGATGACAAAAAAAATAAAAAAAATAGTTACTTTTCAAATAATCTCTCACACACAAGGGACATATATATTTTAGTGTAATTTTTTATCATTGAATTTAACTTAGTTTAATCATCTACTAAATTAATCATCTATTGAATTAAGAAATTCAGACAAGCAGTCATTTCTGTTCTTGATGCTTACTGGGTATTCACTCTAGAATAACTGTGCCCCTTTCAGCAGTGAAGCCATAACTTTAATTTTTAGCATGAGATAA